GGGGAGCAGGCTTGTCAATATCATCGGTATTTGGAGAACAATTTTTCAGCTTCCGAGCGGATCACGGATCGTGATATCTCACCGATTACAACATCGGTGATCTCATGTTGTCGCGACGCGCGGTGATGTACCCTCCTCACTGTGCCAACACACACCCACGTGCACGCATCACGCGTGCGCGCGCGCACGCGCATCACGTGGCGCTGAGTTACCATCCGAATAATCGAGATTTCGTCTTTGTGATCGCCATTTTTATTATTGTTCCTCACGACGCGCTTCGTGCGACGTTAATATGACCGCTCGCTATGTTGACATTGAACGAAGACACAGATGGGAGCTCTCTCTCTCTCTTTCTCTCTCTCTCTCTCTCTCTCTCTCTATCCATTCGCATCCGACACTCGCGTAACTACACACAGTATACGCATCACGCATTTCGGCAGTGTACGAGAAGCTGAGTGAGGAACCGACGTAAGAAAGATCGACAGAGAGAGAGAGAGAGATAGAGAGAGAGGGGGGAGGGGGGTGGGGGAGCTAAGAACGACGGTCAGCTGATGTCACGCAGATGGGCTGGTGAGCTGCGTCGCGCTAAAAGCAGCTATGATGCCCTCCTTTATTTCCCCTCTCGTCCCTCCGCCGCCCAGGCCGTTCTCCTCTTCCGCGCGTCCCCGCTCGTCCGTTTTTCTATCTGCGTCTATCTATCCGCGATGTGTAATCCGCATGTATATCGGCGTTTCCCTCTCGCGTGAATTCCTCGCGCCTCCGAGTCTCCTCGTTGAGAGGAAGAGAGAAACGGACGACGCGGGCTCCGCAAAGCGTGTATACCACGAATCCGTGACGCATTCTTCCACTTCCCCTTCGCGCGACTCTCTTGAGAAAATCGCACGGCTGTTGCGAGATGACTCGTGTCGAGGGACTGGGCAATGTGCGCGTGTATATCGTTAAAAAGATCTGATGTTTTCCGTTCGGAATAAAGTGTGACAATCGCAGCGGCGCGGCGTATCCATAGCCCGATGCCTCTCGGCATCGAATAACCGCACGCCGATAAAACATCGATTTGTTTTCACTACACTTCGCACGATTGCAATAACATCAATTCACTCGATATTTTACTGGCGATAATTCCGTTTTCAACGGTAGCTGTTCAAGTGGATACCTCAATTAAGACAGACCGAAGCACAGATCTTTGCATAAAGCGTAGAAAAAAATCATCAACCAATCAGAGTCCTCTTATTTCATGAAAAGGAAGGAAATGAAGAGACTTCGATTGGTCCATTTTCCTGTGCATTATGTAATACACGTTATATTACGCAGTTTTTCCCGTCCTTACAAATTTCGCGATTCGTAAAAGATTTCTCAATCACCGCGGCACACGAACTCCGCGATATCGCGTTCCACCTGTCTTTCCTCATTGAATAAAAACAGCCTGTCCATTGAGAGACTAATAATCGGCTTCTCTTCAAGATAATCGAGTGTTTCATTAGAAGAAGCGAGCTTAATGTGTAGTCATTAACTGCTTATAAACGATTTACTGCGCAGCCACTGATCGATTCATTTATGACTTTAAGAATGCGTTTAATACAGGAAATATACATGATAGTAATTACACTTGCTCGTTCGCAAATTTGTTTATTTGCATAAAACTTGCACGTATCGGACAAATTATTTTACGTAATTTTATCGAATACAAACTTTGTTTGTAAATTGTTTTAAGAAAATTTTAGACTATTAGAGTAAAATTTTTAATTATTAAATTAATTTGAGAAAATTTAATTTCTCGGTAAAATTATTTTACAATTAAAATTTGGGAGTAGACAGAATCACCTAAGATAAAGAAGATAAGACGTAAACACGAATACAAGTAGCTTGTCAGATCGAAGCTTGTTAGGTCTGCATTTTTGATTGATTTATCTGAGCGAAACGATCTCGAGACAGGTGAAGGAGACGCTTATTCCGTATTCAAGCTTAAGATCTATGGCCTGGAGATTTTCGTTCTTCTGAATCGGGACAAATTTCACGCGGTCGCCGTAAACGCGCGGTTCGGCTGGGGATTACAGTTACATCGTGCATGATTTGCGGATAGTTTACGCGAAAAGCGACGGTTTGCGGTCATCGTGGGGCTCGGTGTCGTCGCGTGAGCGCGGATCATCGGCACGAGAAGACGACGAAGAGCCGAAGAGGTCAGGCATGCGAGAAAGTGGGGCAGACACGGAACGTTGACCTTTACGGTTACGGTGGATATATGTACGTTCGAGGAGCACGACCGAGTTGCACGACGGGGCCCCGTGATCCTTTGTCGCGATACACCGATGGTCGGTATACCGATCGAACGCGGGATAAACGAAGTCGTCTTTACGAGTTAGCTGGGGGCTATTTCTTCGCACGGGATTCAATCTCAAAGCGCGATTAGCGAACTTAGCGTTGTAATTTTACATACTTCAGTTACAGCGCAATAAATTTGATTCAATTGCACTTGAATAATTCGAAGTGCATCTTGTGCGAATTTTTGTGTTATCGTGAAAATGTTTGCAAAAATATATTCCCTACGAGATTAAATTTCAAAGCACGATTTGTTTGCCTTTTACCACAATCGCAAACTTAGCGTTGTAATTTTACTTCAGTTATATTGGTTTTTTCACATTTCAATAATTTGAAGTATATCTGTGAATGTTTTCATTATGAAAATGTTCGCAAAAATATTCTTTTTAATGATAAATAATTAACTTCTAGCGTGAAATGACAAATATAAATTCGTTATTTTATTGTAAGTAAGAAAATTTATTCATATTTTTTATACATACAACTGGCTATTTCAAGTATTTAAAACCGTAAAACTACATATGTTTGGTCAAATTCAAATAAACTTTGGAAAAAGTATTTACATTAAACAAAAAGATATTTTTTGCATTTTTTCAAATAACAATAAAACTTAAAACTGCTTTCTTGAAAGGAAAGACATTTTTTTTTCATTCAAATGATTGAGGCAATTCTTCCTTCAATGCTATACATAATGTATATGCCGCTCAATTGTCAACTGTCTTATATGGAATACCAAGAAAGCAAAAAATTGAACAAGAAAATTTAATCCTTTCTCGCCATGTAAGAGCGGCAGCCACGCCCAACCGTTAGATTCGCAGCGCCGTTATTAGCGCTGCGTTTAACGTACGTATAAGTCGCGTAAATGCGTGGGTATGTGCGAGCATAGGTATGCAGAGGCATGCTTACGTTATCGCTAACAGTCAGACGCCGCATATGAAGAGACCAATCGCGTGACGTATTATCGAATGAAGGATGCACGCGGTTTCATTTCGCTCGCGCTTCGTTTCGTTTTCCTCGTTAATATAACGGTCACCCTAGATTCCTCGTAGATTGGCCCATTCAGTGTAATCGGTCGCATCAAAACTCTGTCCGAGCTTCTCAAGAATTCTTCCATCGAAAGTATTGGTGAATTCAAATCGGTATACTTCAGCGAGGAAAAGGTATCATGTTAGATTCGCATTTTTTTTTTCTTTTTATGTATAATTGTAGAACAATGAAAAGTGTCGGGAGCTGTAATTATTTTTTTTTGTACATATTAAAATAGAACGTCGTGCTAACTTTGCAGATCCGCGTTCCATATTTTCGAATCACTGTTTACTTTACTTTTCGAATTCTTTTTGAAATTGTCGAATTCTCAAAGAGGAAACTGGGACTCTATATCGATTACATCAAAATTCAGAGAATTCGGGGTATCAACTTTCCAATTTAAGACCTCGTTGATTCCTCGATTCTTCGAATTCGAAGGAATTTGTCAATCGTCACGACGTACTCATCGTTGGATCGTTTTCATGTTACAGAAATCGCGAAGGTGCGGGCAAGCCTTTTTCAAATCAGCGGAGTGAAAAAGGAGCCGCTCATCTTGCCGGAACCGGAGGGTGACATTACGACGCTCACGGAGAAGGTCTATGTACCCGTTAAGGAACACCCAGACGTAAGTATCACGAGAGACTGACGTATATGTAATATAAACTTGGCATGTTTCCCGGATTATCACAAGACGCGATTCAGGGTATACATTTGGAATACGAAAACGAGGAGATTCTTTTATTATAAGAGAATTTACATTAATTACTTCAGGTGTATACGTACATTAGCTAATGAACGACAGTTGCTAAATATCTGTTATTTTGTAATGAGTGGATAGAATGAAATGATTTAAACGCTGGTCTGCGTGAACTTATTTAAATATACGAAAAACTCAAAATTTAACTGCATGACTCACAGCTCAGTCCGATTCCACTAATGTGAGATTAGCATAAATCTCGGTTTAATTCACTCTGTTTTCTTCTAATTCTAAGAATTAGAAAAAGATATTTACGGTAAGTTAAACCGAGATTAAAGTTAATCTTATGTTGATGGAATCGGACCTTGATTATATATTTAGAAGATATCGGCACGGACAATCATTTCCATGAAAGGAATTTATTTCGAATTCTTCGAAGATCGTTACAGTTATTAATGTTACGAAACATGTATTCAATATACTGTTACCAATATAACTTTAGTTACGGCTCAACTTACCTCTTTTGTTCATCTTTTTCTAATTCTTAGCATTGAGATTGAAATTAAATTACATTGATAGAGATGAACTTAAATGAAATGGGCCGAATTATGGACCCTTTATTATATTTTTACATATTATATACAGTACGTATATTATTTACCGTTTAAATGGATTTTTCGTTGTATTTACATGAACTTTGGCGGTATAATTCGATAACTTTAAATATATAATACTTATAATCCAAATTAAAGCCTCAACATTTTTTGGTATTAAAAGTTTCGTCTCAAAATAATCTCAAGAATCTGCCCTTAAGCGTTGTTGTGGTCTTCACCACACAAACACCCTATATACATATATAATCATATCCATCGTGAATGGGTATATCTTTTAAATCTACTGAAAATTCTCTTGGAAGAGGCGCGTCTCTCCGTAGTGTCGATGAGGAGCAATTTTCGCTATATACGGATCCGCGAGAGGAAGAGTATCGTTCGGCGATCTCAGAAGATGGGATCGAGCGATGCGCAGCATGCGCTCAACATCGAACGCTGAACGTTATTTCTGTAACGCCCGAAATAGGGTTCGCGCCGAAGAGACGACTCCCTTTCCTTCTCCACGCTCCGTTTCCTCGTCTCGCTCGCTCGCTCGCTTCTACCGGAGCGGTTGGTTCTCATTGAGACGTAATAATCGGGTCGTAAGCTTATTAACCTTTCGCGCGGGTCTCTCGATCTTTTTCTCTCTTTTTTTATTTTTTATTTTAGTTAAATCTTTCGTGTGTTAGTATATTTAATTTATTTAAAGATACAAGTGTGAGATATCCGCTCGACGAGGAACAGACAGGAAGAAAAAATACGTCGGTTTTCACGCGCGCGACATTGATTGATAATCGCAGGCGTCGGCGATTATTAGCTTATTATGGATGCCTCTAGCGAATTATCGATCGATTCGTCCATTATCGCGACGTAGACAACCCGGTCTTGCTTTGCACGCCCATCGGCTTCATAATTATCCAATTAGCGTGCTCCGATTGCACACTGATTGATAGTTTTCGATAATGTCTCGTGTTATCGGCGCATAATTCTTATCTTTATCAAAAAGAACTTCCTCGAACGCACCTAGCACGGTAGCTCATCGTTTTATCTCTTTCCTGTACAAATTTACATGAATCGTCAAATTGTTGTTATTCTGCGTTACGTGTTTATTTGAGATTTCACTGAATTACGTTTCTTCGAGATTAATGGGAGTTATCTGCAGGGTGTTAGAGTCTCTCCGTTATAGCTTTTCCTTCCACTGCACTTCAGCATTTAGACACGCCTCAATCACATATATTAAAACTCCTAAAACTCGGTATTTTTTTGGAAAAAAAAAAAAATAAATAAATAAAGAAATGGGCCAACAGCGGGTTAAAGAGACGCGGATGATTCATCCTCTAAACTTATCCGCCTTTATTTACCGGGATCCAACAATGAAACTGGATATCTCGTGGAACAGGTATTTTTTCACATGATCGTACAAGCCAAATTTAGTGCTTTGCGCGTAAAATTAAATGATATATATCTATTTACGAGAGTATTTATATGCCTCTGTCTATCTATATCATGTATATACTATTATATAACGTATGCACATGCTGATATTTGTATACAAATCGTTTGGAAAGCGTTCTAAAAACACGGCGATTAGTAAAGTGATCTCTGATTCGTCCGTCCTTACGTAATGTCCTTCTCTCTCTCTCTCTCTCTCTCTCTGAATATCTTTTAACCCTTCGGTGCTAATCTTGTTACGACACACCCGAACTTTTTTATCTTATATTACAACTTATTATTAATAAAGATACAGTGGCGTGCAAGTTTGCGACTAATAACATTTTATACTCCAATTTATAAAAAGGGATTGATAAAATTTTAATTATTATTACAGGTGTTAGTACAAAATTTCCGTTACCCACGTCAACTAACATCCGATAATGATCAAAATTTTATGAGGCTTTTTTGTAAATTAGAATACGAAATATTACTGATCGGAAACTTTTGCATTCTATATACATTTGTTTTGTTATCGTTATATTCTTTAAAGTTTGACCTTTGGATTGAAAAAAATTTGTTATACATTTATTTTATGCGATACACGTTTTACAATTCCTAGTGTGATAAATTCGTGACAAAACGGTGCGGTGTGGCATCAAAGGATTATATTTTCTTTAATGAATGCATTGATTACACGGAAGTGGACAATAAATTAAACGGATTGTTCCATATAATTGCAGTTCAACTTTGTCGGGAGGATTCTGGGGCCACGGGGCATGACCGCGAAGCAACTGGAGCAGGAGACAGGATGTAAAATCATGGTGCGCGGGAAAGGATCGATGAGGGACAAGAAGAAGGTAAGAAACGTTTAGAGGCTGAAATTTATTAAACTTATATTTGTTGTTGACGATATTTGTTGTGTGAAAGAAATGAAATTTCTTTGAGGAAAGTTTCCTTATCAGTGAGCTAATAAAAAAATTTTTATTGATGCGTGGTATTAAATATCGCGGAGACATGTGAGTTATGCTCGTTAACGGCAACAAGCATCTGAAATTAAATAACGGTCGTAGACGACGACAGCTGTTATAATAATGGTCGATTCTACTAATCATAGGTCTGCTCGTCTTAATCGCACTTTATTACACTTCTCGTTTAAGAAGAATGTTTTTGAGCGCAGATATGATTGAAGCAATATGAGTTATAGCCAAATAATATATTTTTTAATCGGTATCGGTGAATTAATATAGGCTGTAAATAAAGAATGCTTGCGATTAGTATTGGGGGATCTTGCCAGAGACAATGACAAGTGGGTTTGGAATTAACTATGAGTGGATTCATGTAGTAAACCAAGCGTCATTTTTTTCAAGCTGCACGTGGTACACGAGCGAAATGCTTTCTCGTAAGTATAAGTATACTGTAGAAACAAACTCAGTATACAATTTGATGTGAATTTGATGTGTAATCTATTGCTTTCTCACGCTGATAAACGTCAAGTTTCTTTGTCAATCGTTATTATTGTCATTTATTTGTTAATAAAAATTTACATCGATGCTTCGTTAGTTAAAGAATTCGCCTTACATAAATATAGGAATGTATATAGAGAGTGTGAAATTTATAATTGCGCAATTCGACACTATTTTATTTCTTTCTATTCCCAGAAAACCGCGCACGAATCTTTATATTATAATTTTTATATAGTATTCAATGTATATTATTCAAATACTCAATATTTTTTTAAGTAGTATGAGTAATAATTTTACGTAAACTCGGTGATTTAAGTTCGTATGTGTATGTATGAGCAAGTGCTTGTGTGCATATAACAAGTTGCACGCCGTGTTGATTAACCAGGAGGAACAAAATCGGGGCAAACCAAATTGGGAGCACCTGACGGACGAGTTGCACGTGCTGCTCACTGTCGAGGACACCGAGAATCGTGCCACGTTGAAGCTCGCCCGAGCTGTCGAGGAAGTCAAGAAGCTACTCGTGCCCGTGGTGAGAAAGTTCCAATTGTACACTCTTCCCTTCTTACATACAATAACAGCCCCGTTCACTAAGAACGCGAGAAAAAAGATCTCTCACCGGGAGAATTTCCCACATGTTTTTTTTTCTTCCCTTTCCTTTGTAGTTTCAAATCAAAATCCGAAAACTCGAAGAAAAAGATCAAAATTTGTCAACGAAATTATGAAAGAATTATTGCACTGAAAAAAATTGATTATACTAAATATTGAATAGTATCAACTGAAAATTTATTTACAGTAAATAAATATTTACTCGATAAAAAAGATAGTCAAATTAATGGTTTTTGTAACAAATAATTATATCTTTATATATTTAGTGCACTTTTAGTTGGTATTATTCAAACAAATGATTTATTCCAATTTAGTACATTTTTGCGTTGTTTTCTTTGCAAGTCGGAACAGTGTATTATAATCGAGTTGTCGAAGCTTGAAATACACGCCACTTCCGAAGTGAGTGGCCTCGCGTACGTACGCGTGATACGTCGACGTTTTCATATGTAAATGGAAAAGATCTGTACACAATGTCGAGCTTCCCCCATCCATTCCTAGGATAATTATCGTTGCACCTCCGGTGGTGGGTTCTGACGGTAATGTCGATTGTTAGCAGGCTGACGGCGAGGATGAGCTAAAGAAGAGGCAGCTAATGGAACTCGCCATTATCAATGGGACTTACCGGGACTCGAATACAAAGGTTGCCGCCGCGGCAGGTACCGTTCGCAGAACTTGTCTCATTATGCGCGCTTAAAACACGCTCGGGATCGCGTTCCCCGCGATCCCGATTGGGAATTGCAGAGATTTACTTAAACATATACGGTCGATTCGGTGAAACAGGCTTTCTAATGAAAGATTCATTTTATAGTATTGCTTTATTGCAATTGTAATTTACCTCATCACGTTAAAACGACGTACAATAATCGTGATATGACAGTTAATGATAACGACAGTGTAATTGACTAACGTTAACCATCGTTATTAGTGACTAATCTAATGGAATAATCATTCTTGCGAAATAATGCGGCTGCGTCTTCTAAATCCGGGATTTCCAGTTGTCGGAAAAGTTTGGGAACGCGCGCTTGAATAAATAGTTGTAGATATTAATGATCATGATTCTGACTAGTCAAAAACAAGAAATTATAACAATCGCAAAATACTCTTTAGATAGTATAAATTTGTTTTTTATTTTGCATTGTATTTAGTATTTTATCTTTTTGGAACTAGTTTAGTCAGACGCTTCGGATTACATTAGATGAGTGGAAGGTACTTCGAAAAAGATTTCTGAGAAACTTGACTCTAGATATACGTTCAGATTATGCGTAGCATTGTCGAAATCAAGGTCGACTTGTGAATGAAGATGACGTGACAAAAAATTTGAAGAATCAGATCCTTCACCATGCTGCATATTATTTTGATAGAAATTTCATATATAATTTATCTGGTAAAAAAATTATTTTATATAATTTGTCAATAATAAATTCTTATGTCGATTGTATAACATATTATAACCCGAATGTAAAGTTTCTCCTCGAAATTCTTTTTTCGTTCCTGAATTTTTCTGACGCAGCGGTTGTTCCAAACGATGCAGTCGTAACTCTCGTGGGATTAGAGACCCTTTAAGAGTCTGGACATAAGAAAACCACCTTTGACTCGGTATGTTTTGACAATTCCTGAAAGAGAAAAAGAGAGAAATAGCTAAAACAACATGGAATGAATAGAATGAAAAAGAGAAAGAAATAGTAAATGTATTGTATATCATTACAATAAAAAAAAACTTATGAAAGTTAACACTGTGAATGAAAATTTTGTAAAAGAATATATACTGATTGTAAGATTAAATACAAACGTTTCAATCTTTTGTTGAATCTTTATATTATTAGTATAAAATTAACAATTTATACTAATTATTATACATACATTTGTATATTACACCATAATAATGTTACAGTATATTAGCGTAACTCTCTGTCGGCACCTTTAATGTTAGTGTTGGCCAAACTAGAGTGCACAAAATTGCGCAAAATAAGTAAGTTCACCAGTAACGTCATCTGAATCTGTTTTTCACTTGCTCTTTATTTTCCATCTTTCTCTGTAGCTACTCTAGCTTATTTGTATGTATATCAAATTAATCTAAATGTAATAAAAACTAAAAGAAATAGATTTATAATTGTAATGCATTGTAAAATAAAAAATAAGAAAATATAAAATTATATAAATATTATACTGTGTAAAAGTATTTTAATTAAAGACTTTGGCATATATACAATGTGTATTCTTATTAGATTACTCTCTTATACAGCGATACCTGGAACAAAGCTAAGATCAAAATGCAAAAGAATGCGAAAAGTGCAAGAGAATGGATAATTTATACAATAGTTGTATGGATTAACTATTCTCTTAGGAGAAATTGTTCCTCGTTTCACTTAATTTTTTCCACTTTTTCACTTTTGCATTATTTTTACTTTTCCACACTTTTTAGTCACAAACTAGAGTCATTTGGAGTTTCTCAAATTAACACAGTTCAAACAACCGGCAATTATATTAATTTCTTTTAAACTTTCTAAGCACATAAACAATCACAGGATATTTAAATGGAAACATTTAAATGATCCTGATAGAGAGAACGGATAAGAATAAGAGACAGAAGTTTAGATGACATTACTGGGCAATATAAAATCAGGAGAGTTGCGCTACTGTATATACTGTGGTAATGTTACAGTTTTTATTTAATATTTCAGTTTTATTTTTTGATTCAGATGAAGTGTTCAGTCAAATATTAAATAAAAATATTAAATACGTACTAAAAAAAAAATTGGCTAAATATGGTATAGCATTTTACTATCTAAACACTATAGCAGCCATCTTTTCTTTCAGTGTACGTTGATAATTTTTATCTTTGGACCTATAATTATGACAGCACTAATAACTTGTTTATCAGTTTGATACTTCTGCTATGTTAATGTAAGTAATATTACAACAATTAATATTTATTTATTACTTTTGTACTAAAAAAAAAAACGACTTCATTAAAGAGAGCCTAAATGTCTGTATATTATTTCAATCAATATATACTTTTATACGATTCCCATCCAATGTTAGCTTTCATGTGCTTTTTTATTGTAATGATTTATTTTATTTGCAGCCTTTGTCTTTATATATTTTAGATGTATGTCGTTCTTTGTTATCGATTTTGTTCAAATTATTACCCTACATACAACTCCAGACTCTTATTAGAGGATCTCTAGCTCAAACCAAGCGCTTCGTTGGAAGCGAGGCAAGGAAATCAGCCATTCAGCACCATTCGATATTGCAGCCTGCGACGAGGAATGGCGGCGAGTAGCCGCTGCCGCGGCGGAGACGCAGCGTCTGTTGCCGGGCCTAGCGACACCGATGCGGACGCCGAGTGCTCCCCTAGGTGCGCCTCTGATCCTGTCGCCGCGGATATCAGTGCCGACGACCGCCGCGTCCTTGCTGAACGGCTCCGGGCCACCTGGTTCACTCCTATCTGCCGGTGATCCCCACGGACTCATCTACACACCGTACGCGGATTACGCCAACTATGCCGCCCTGGCCGCGTCGCCGTTGCTCACCGAGTACGCCACTGCTGATCATTCTGGTGGGTTGTTTGCTCGTTGATCGCTCCTCCGTTGCCGTGTCCTCCCCGCGGCACGAGAGAAACGGAGGTGGCCAAAATAAACGCCTCTTCTCTCTATATGACATGTGAATAATGGAGCTTTTTATACGCAGAATGTTTTTTTCTTTAATTTTTCAAGGGAGATGCACGCGCGACAGAAAGGATGAAACCGTGCGCTTCTATTATTTTTATTAATATTATTATTATTTTACCGCATACGGCAATCTGACGATTGATGATTTTCTCTGTTCCTCGACGGTTCCGATAATGTTTAACCATTCTTTTTCTTGTGCTGTAAGTCTCAAGAGATTAGACGAGGAATAAATGATTAACGGGAAGAAATCTTTTCCTTTTGAAAAGGTGATTATATGTTTTTTTATTATTATCAATATTATACGTATAAATATTTTGACGAGGCTGTAAAAAGTTACTTGTCTAATCTCGGTGCCACAATTTTTATACATTACATGAATTTGAAAATTAATTATCATAGAAAAATGAAACAAGATTGAATACAATGTTACATGCTGTCAGTGTTGAGCTTCAAGAAAAGTGAACATTGACAGAAAAAGTCACCAATTGTCACGTAGCACGTATACAATCGCGTAAATTTGTAAGACGATAATTGTTAATTACGAGCCGATTGCTCTTGTAGTTGTTAATTATTATTCTCCACGTTACATCGCCATAGTTATCATGTTTTATCGCGTCATTATCTCCATTATCATCCTCGGTCGTCGTCCTCGTCGTCCCGATCATCATCACTGTGTCACCATCATTATCATCATCGCCATTATCGTAGCGAATATTTTTTGCGCGAGGATAGATTAGGATTATAGAACACAACCGAAATCAGTCATTTACTAGTCGCGTCAGTTCAGATATTTTATAATTACGTAAAAGCCTTAGCACGCGTGCGCGCGTGTAATGTATATGCACCGCCTTCGAAATAATTGTGTCACGAAGATTCAGGGTTATCAATAGCGATAGAAAAGAAATGGCAGGAATGTGAGCACAGATTAGAGCACGATTTAGACCATGTTTCGGTGAGACTTGATCAAAAACGGTGTAGGTATTAGGTTTAGGAGGAGATGGGGCAGACGCGTACGTACTCGTCGTGTGTACTGTATCGCGTGTGAATGTAGCTATACTAGTCTGAAAGCTTTTCTTTCTTTCTTTTTTTTTTTACCGATATCGCGCCGTTCACCAGTAGCTACGTGTTTCGCCGCCTGGAATGTATCTTTTCTCTTCAAGCCGCCTTCAGGATAACTGCACGGTGCAATTTTTGCTCGATGAAGGAGGACAAAAAATATTCTATCCGGTTGAATTGAGATTTCCCATATTTCCTTCTCTTTTGAAATATTACGTACCATTCTCAAAAGTTCATAGACTAATCTGAAAGATTTTTGCAAAACATACACTTAGACAAATGTTTTTTTTGAAAATGAACGATCTAAATTAATCAGAATTCCGATTATCTCAAATAGAATTCCAGTAGAATTAATCAAAGAATTCTAATTCATTTATTTTTTAATCAGAATTTCAATTAATCCAACCAGATATTTTTCTCAGTGCAGGTATAGAAAGTGTCCTGAAAAAAAGGAGTAAATCTCTTGTTACATGGAAGAAATGTAATTTTTGCTATTCAAAATTGATAATGTAGAATTTAGATAAATGAATTGTTTTTGTTAGATTTTACATTAATTTTTAGCGGAAAAATTATTAGAATTCAATTTTCATACCGATACTTCTCTCTTTCCAAATACGATCTCTAATCTCGTCAATCGGATACAGTACTTTCGTCTTCTCACAGATCGGGCAAATCTTTCACCGTGCGACGTAGACGTAGTCCAAGAAAATCACGGGAGACAATCGCGTTAAACTTGGTCGCGTTGAGAATCGCGGCGGAAACGTTAGCCAGGGATAGTCCCGCGGAGTCTCGTCTTCTCAGAAAGGAAAGGAGAAAAAGAAAAACACGTCGAGATATTTCGGATACGCGAGAAATCCCGTCCAGTCCTCCTCACCAGTATCCAAAGTACTTCCCGTCGAGTGGTACGAGTTTACTGACTCACTGACGCACACGATGTTCGATTCTGGGCTCGTTTAGAAGTCGAACCCGTACAGGAATAATACTCCTGGACCGCGTGTTCTTCGTCGCGACACAGGGAAGATCGGTGCGTCTTTCTTCCCCTGATACAAAGGCATCCAGTTACCCGGTGAATGCTTGCGCATTCGCGCGTCTTTTAATGTAGTGAAGGAATGTTCAGTCTTTTATATATATATGTACGTATATCTCACGTTAGATTTTGTTTCTTACGGTCGATGAGAGATCCGTAACGCGCTATCGCGCATTACTCAATGCAGTAATCAAAGGCCATTCTTGTTGTAGCTATTTTTACAGACATATGTACGCACATAAGTATATACTATAGATTTCAGAGAATATATTATATATTTATTGAAGTATAGACGATATGAAAGTTATGCATAATGTAGGTTTATGTTTTTTTCCTTAAAGCTTGTTTTAGAGTTCGATTTGGTAGTTTCAACGATGGGAAGGGACGTGTATCGTCGTCAAGAACGTTTCTTCTCTTTGTTAAAGAAAATAATTGACGGTTTTAATCAACAGTCTATCAGGATGGTGACGGTACATTAATCGAACTTTAGGCCGCGTTCTCTTTTTATTTTCTTCCTTTTTTTTATCTTACGCGTTTTCGCGAACATATTTTTTATTACATACGCTTGACTTAAATTACACTCTTAACAACGTTCGCAATTACAAAGTACCACTAGAATCCCAATCGAATCCCTCGGGTTGACCTAACACGCTAATTAAACAACTAATAACTCGATCCGTCCGCCTCTCTCTCCTACGAAACTTACTCCACATTACAACTACTTATTTTTCCTTTTGTTTTCTCTCTCGCTCCCGCCTCCGGATGAAAACCATACCTCTAATTACGTAACTCTTTGACGACTCTAGCGAAGTAATTACGCGAAGCGCAGCGATAGTTATCTTAAAAGAAAAAAAAAACCAGGAAAGAAGAAGAGTACTCGATTGTGAGACTTCCGAAGCAGTGTGTAACTTTATTTTTTTTTTCCTTCTCTGCTCACGCGAGAAGATATAATCGCTGTGTTTTCACAGCTTGAAATCGAATCGGTCGAGGTGATTGCCGTCGATTATACGATAGCAATCGGATTAGCGAGCAATTTAGCGAGGACTCATCGGTTAATAAACATAAATTGGATCTATCGCGCGACACGCCATATGATGGCTGGTGATAGGTAGCCTTATAATGTAATGTACGTAAGATTCTCTTTCTTTAGGCAGGCAATATATAGGTGGAGGGAGAATATTACCCAGGGACCAAACAATATTTTGAGGACTGATGGTTCTAGCGTTTACTTGTAGCGAATCCAGACGATACGGATAAGACTATGCGTTGAAAAAGTACTTCCTCTCTTTTTTTTGTTTTTTATCGCGCGTTCACGCCCCCCCCCTTCGCAAAAGAGCAAACAAAGGAGAATCGAATGATTATTTTAGCGCACGTATTTATACGGATTATCTTATAGACACGCAATACTCTTTTTGATGGCATAGTCTTTAAGTAATATTTAAATATGCAAATCATTATTGTACGAGCTATATATTATATATTATTTTATACGTTTATTTAATTTTATTTTTATAAAGATTTAGCCGTTTACATAGATATATTTATACGAGGTTGAGGGCCGAAGCAACGGGTAATCCCAATACTCATTGTTGTTAGGAACGAGTAGAATGGTTGGATACATTTTAGCGTACATGACAAAGACTTACCTGATTTCACTGACAAAAATCAAAAGTTGCGCGATGTTGAGCCGCGCGCGAAAAAAACGGGAGAATAGCCCGGTATCAATGATAGCTTTTCTCAAGTCTATGGTTTAACGAAATTCATATATAATATATATACACGCACGCGCAAAAATTTCTCCGATGTACCTAGATACAAGCGTTGATACAAGCGAAAAGGGAGATGTCATATGTGTGTATATATTATTATTAAATTCGTTTAATAGGTAATAAGTAAGTAATTAAGTAAGTATGTGTGTTTCTCCGATGGAGTCACATCTCGCCAAGCAGGCGAAGGTTGTTTTTAACATGGTATTTCAGAGACGCACGATTTCACTGACAATTTACAGTATTCTTACAGAGTGTTCTGGTAGGCAAGTTTGCCTACAGTTACAAGCCTAAAGAGTACGACCAAATGCGAGCTCACGAGAGATCGGGACGAGCGCGTGGAACACGGTCGCGTGTTGAATGTTATGCAAGTCGCTGCTCTATCGAAATGTCTTTTAGGTCTATACTTATAGTCGTACATCATCCGCGATTGATCTTCATTTTACAGCTAGCTTTGAATCGGATTTATTAATTATGGTATTAAAAGTATTTTGGAAAAAGACTGATTTAAACTCTAAACTCAAATCGGATTCTTAGGTTGATTTACGATTATGAATATGGCTCTTCAGTGATTTCGATTGGACGCACTCAATACGTATTAAACGCACATTAAAATTGTTCACAAAAATGGGCTTGAGTTGCGAAATTCTTAATACACCTGTTGTTGATAAAAATATGTATTTAATAATTCGAAATATTTGCATTTCACTTTTATACTCACATTAAATCAGTATATAACGCAGTGCGCACTGGTGCGTCCAATCCAATTTTGTTATTTGAGCAAGATGATCTCAAGGTACTTAGTATGCGAATGGATATTGATAAACGACGTGAAATCTGTAGTTGATTTACGTATTCTTGAAGTCATATTTTCAAGAAGAAAGTTTAAACTAGTATCTCCGAATCTTGTTACTCACAAATATCTCAGCGTTATTCAATATCGATCAGCAAATGAGAACAATCTCGATATCGAATTAGAGCAGCGGTGTGTCTCATTTTTCACGCTCGCGATGTTCAAACCGAGAATAAGAAGGTAAAGGACATCCTTAGAGCGTTATCGTATTTCCGCAGTATTTCTATACCGTATTCGCAGTATTTTCGCGTGTGTTTCAGGCATTTAATAGCTTCCGCGTCCTTCGTGTTCATAGTCACGGAGGGATGATCGCGTCGACGATTGTGAGCTCGCGTGTCGGTCGTAGACTGGAGGTAACGACGATCAACATTAACCCTTAAGTAGGCGTACTTACAAATTCATCACAGCGATTGAAGTAGCTCTGGAGCTTCTCTCTTCCGAGAAGGCTAAAAATTATTGTTTGATTTGTCTTTTACTAATGATAGTGTAAGCTTTTGTTTAGATGGCTTGGAGGTTCATCTAGGAAATTGAAAGAAAAAGAAATGATCCAATGCGCGTACTTAAGGGCTAATCCTACGACGTCGCCACGAACAGGTCGCTTTCGGAAAGGGTGATTTCCTCCTCTGCGTTCAGCGGAGTCGAAACAACCCGCTTCCGTTTCGTTGACGTCGTAGCGACGTCGTCGCCGGAACCCGTTGCACAAAGAAAGAAGAAGAAAGAATTCTTCCTTGCTAGCATATTATAAATTAGTATCGGTAAATAATGCCAACATCGATAAATACTATCAGGAAAATATTCTTTGTGACACGGGTTCCTCCCTCCCCGATGTGTGTCTTTCTTTTGTACTGATAATAGCGGCAAGATTCTAGACTTTTTTTAGCGGGCCGAGATGGGCGGATCCTTTGTGGATCCGTGCAGAGAAAAGTGATCTTGCGCCGGAAGTGACGGTCCTGCTGACCATACTCATGCTGTGTATATGTTGGCGACAGGCGCAGCGGCGGCCGCCGCCAAGCAGCGTAGGCACCTGGGTCAGATCCGCGAGCACCCTTATCAAAGGGCCGGCGCTCTCTCGTGAACACACAGAGACGGTGCGAGTACACAGAGAGAGCGAGAGAGAGAGAGAGAGAAAGAGAGAGAAAAAGAAAGCGAGAGAGAGAGAAAAAGCGAAAAAGAGAGAAAAACAGAGCACTGTTCCCGCGCCATTGCGGAAAGGTTAGTGTCTGCACAGGCAATCAATTAAGTTCTCTCTTTTGTCCTATTATTTTTTTTTTTATCTTTTTTTTCCTTCAACGTCTTCACCATCTTTTCTTGCAGTCTCGACATCGGAATGGTCGAGGCGTTTTTCTCGTCTCGCGACGAGACCACTTACGTTACTTATTTTCTAAATCAGAAGACAATGGTGGTCACTAAAACTATATATAGGTTGATGAAAGAAAATGTTTTGCCCAGCTTTGTATTAGAAAAAAATTAGAGAATTCCTTTTTTTTTTTTTAAAGGGAATTAAACATCTTAAATCTTGATGAAAAAGGAAAAACTGTATTTTTTTTTTGTATCAACCTGTGACTTACTTTCGTTTTGGTGAACGCCTTGATTTAGATACGCTTAATGTGTTAACAACTTTTACTGTTGCATATTTATGGTAAACCTATGAGAGCTATCTATATTTAAATAATTACGAATTTACTTTCTAAATATTTTGTAATAGAATGTCATTTTAAAAAATAAAAGTTGAGGCAGTCTTGAAAAAGGGTGGCTCAATTTTCAATCTTTACGAGTGAGATTTATTCTAAAAGTTCCAGAGAACATAGTAGAGTGCTTAGATCATTCCGACGAGAGATTTATATATACATATATAGCTTTTTATCGTTTATGTATGACGAGACCCGCGCAGCACAACACACGCTTCGGTTTTGGCTCGTGCTGAAGCCGCGGCGAAAATATGGGCCTTTCACACGCGTCTCCTCCACAAACATGCTGTTGTTCAGGAAGCCTTTCACTCGGACTGGAACCTCCGCGAGAGCGGGCAGCAGCAACGGTGGCGTGTGCGTACGTGTGTGTTTGTGCACGCGCGCGTCTCGTCCTGTGTACCTGACGCCGCACCGATCGACATCGGTTGTGTCTCATCGGTTGAAGTAGCACTTCTCGTTTACACACGTATACATATATGTAGATAGATTTCCGGTGACCGTGACGAAAGAATTGATTAATGTCGCAATACATGTATCCCTTTATCTATTAAAAAAAGAAAAAGAAAAGAGAAAGAGGGATATAGGTCGCACCTTCCCCGGACCATTCCGACGGTGGAAAGCCACGTAACTTTCATTAGCCATAATAGTACATGAATCGAGGTAACGGGAAAGAAAGGGAGAGGTAGAAAGAGTGAGAGAGAGAGAGAGAGAGAGAGAGAGAGAAATCACGCATAGGCGGATTGACGTGTGGGTCGGAGGGAGAGAGAACGAGAAAGACTCGTTTCTCGGCTTAGGGCAGCCGCAGGAATCGGGCACTAAGCGTCCGGAATGTCGAAAGCGCGTCTGGCATTTTATGCATCTAAAACGAATCGTGCAACGAAATCAAACGCGAACTCCGTTCCGCGCTGCGCCATGATCTTTCAAACTGACTTACGATAGTTACGGTCGCGCGAACATTGCCGCCTTGTCCGAGGAAGCAACGCAGCCGGAGATTTTTTCACATATCTGTAGAGCTTATTACATGCAAAAGATTAATCGGAATATTTGGACAATAGGTAATTGTCCCTTTTTATTGTATTTGTTTCTATTAAAGTGCCTTTGTACATGGATTTAAACAAGCCATAAAGAAAATTAGCATAAATAAATATAAAAGATTCAATTTTTTTATCAAGTTAAATTATTAATATATGTATACAATACCAAAGATAATATTTAATTTTTTAACTATTAAAGTATTGTAAACATCTTTTGAGAGATACAATACATATCATACTAATTTAAAGAAGCTTATGTGAGTCCAGTATCACAAGATTTTAAGTTTGTCTCTATTAGTAAGCTCTGTATTGGAGCTGAAAGTGTTATGTTACGAATGTACATTGAAATTGTAAGTATAATTAAAACAATGATTTATACATAATTTATTAACTTAAACAATTAGCATACTAAATCTATTATCTGTTTTAGTAACTGCATGTTAAAATGAATTAAATGCAGAGAGGCACACAAATTGGAGAGGCATGTTAATGAAGCCATTGCCTCTTGAAGGAGCACATTAATAGGGATAAAAACACTTTCTTTCTTTTTATTAAAAACATTATAAAACATTGTCATGTTTTAGAGTAATAAATATAAGAAAAAAAAAGTCGAAAGCTGATACTGATTTCAAGCAAACAAAATTAAAACAATATTTAATAATTGATTTAACAATAGAGAGAGATAAATTGGCTTAAAGGCAAACTAATAGGAGATTATCCTACAGATGTGGAAAAAAAGTTAATTTTAGATGCGAAAACATTTTGGACGGAGTCCGAGAAATATTCTCAGGATGATGTCGATCAGACTCCGATTAATTTGTCATACCATCGAGCAATACTTACGACTCTATTGTCAAAATTGCGATCGTGGGTGTGCACTTCCTTCATGGGTTTTGCGTGTACATCTTACTCGATGTACAGCTTTGATCGCGACGGAGGATTATTCGCTCGGGTGAAAATAGAGCGCGCGAACAACACCTTGCGTCAGGCCGAATCTATAATTAGATTCGCGGCCGAGAGGAAAATTGTAAAATACACCTCGCCGCATGAATCTCGAGGGTCGCACGCGCGCGCTTCTACGTAGATCCGCGAGAATTTACGTTCGTAATACGGAAATCCGGAAGATTATTTCTATTATTATTTTATCGGTCTTTGCTTTTCTCTCTATATAAATTCGTATATATTATAAGATTGAGGCGCAGCCCAGTGCGTGAGTTCGCGGAGCGGATGTTCGTAGCGGATACTTGTAGACGCGCGAGTAGTATATTGTCTCTTGGTCAATAACGCGCGATTAGTAAAGAATTCCAAAACGATGTCATCGAGATGTCGGAAAATTTCACGAAACCTCTCTCAAGGCTTTCGACGATTTTATTTATACTCGTTTTGTTATAAAAGATATCCCCACGTAAACACGGGGCGTCAATCCAGAAATTTTCTGACATTAATAGATTGCCTGCTCCCAAGGAATACATATTTCCGTTGTGCGAATGAGAAATCAAGGGATGGTAACGCGGTACGATGCGAAGGTTTATGTAATGCGTCGATCCGTCGTCTAAACCGCGATAAATTGTCATTATCGCGGTAGATTCAGGCCAGTATTCACAATCAGTCCTTGTATTTAAGACGGTCTTAAGTACAGTATTGAGATGTCATAAACCGAATCACAGAACTGGATTTGCATTTTAAGACATTACTTAAGACATTACTTAAAATAAGAACGGAGTATGAATACCAGACCTCGGAACAATCAGACGCACGCGAGTAAAAATTCAATTTTTGTACTTTCTTAGATAGAACACAGAGCCACAATGAAGTAATGATATCACAAAATGTCATCATGACGTCATTTTATTTAAAAATGAACTTATATAAGTGACAAATGAGGTCACGATGATTTCCTTATGATATTGTGACTTCTATGTTCTACTTGGGATGTTTTTTTGCTTCGTTCTTATCGTGTTAATTAGCCGCTAAAAATGTTTGTCTTCCACACTGATCTTTGCATTCTTTTTCGCGATACTGTTTTTAGTTTAAAAAGAGAAGAAGAAGTAAAGTAAACCGCGAAAGTGTGGATAATGCTGCCGGAGATGGCATTTCTCCCGTCCTTTTTACATATTTTATCTCACTAACAAGTATTTTTTTTATACATAATTGACATTCCTTATCATAGACGCAATTTCATTCATTATATAAGATGCACAACTGCACCATCTTTTTATTTATAAAAAAACTAACAACAATGCTCCACACACACGTACACACAACACACATGCACACGCACGTACAAATGAAATACAGATGCGCGAATATCTACGAGGCGCGAGAATTATTCTTCATAAAACATTTGTCTTCAATAAAAATTGCTTTTATTGCAATTTGTATGCAGATATTCCTTTCCTGTGACGTGTTCTCGTGCCAATTCGTATATGCGCATATATATGCACAAATACATACACAGAGTGCATATACACTATAAGTGTATATAAATTTGATATGTTAGTGCAACATTTTTTGTTCAAATCCGACACGTTTTATATTTCTTTTACGAATTAGAAGTGCAGTTTAAAATTTTAAATTTTACATATGTTTTAGAACATTCTAGATGATTTAAAGAGAGTTATATAATTATTAAATATTTAATAATTATATAACATTGAATTTTATTTTTTACATGAACACAGAAATAAGTGCAAATTTAGTGATTATGACATTTATTTTTATTTAATATGAATCGATATTATTTTATTCAAAGAAGTTATTCGTGCACATTTAATTTTTACACAGTACACGCATACACACCAATATATTCGTATTTTCATAAAGAATGTTTCACAAATGTTAGATTAATCCATATTGGAAGGTTCTACGATGAAACTGTGTTTAATAATTTAATATAAATTATGGACAGATAAAAGTTTAGATAATCTTGCCTAATTTTATTTTATTCAATTTTGCATTTAAAATATAACATTTTATTGCATATAGTATCATCAAGCATATTGTTGCTTTGTTCCTATAAAATATTTTTGAAATATACATGGCTTCAGAAATAATTAAAGTAGATACTATTTTTCTATTTATTGTGGTATTATCGTCTATTTATTTCATTATTATTAATTAAATGATCGTCATTGTCGCTAATTACAATATACGTGTAAATTATCGACAGATAATTCAAGTTTAATCAAATTATTATTTATTGAGACATATGCATTACAATTGCAATTTACAATTCGTCTATCAGTTTTACACATTTTAAAATCAAAGACGTCTTCCATCATGTTCTCCTATTGACATGCGAGTTTCTCGTTGAATCTCCAGTTATCACACTCGACCCCACACAACTCACGTTATTATATATTTACTGTATAAACAGACTTGTTTAATAAGCGTCTATTAATAATAATATGCTTCTCTTAAAAAAAAGGAATGCCTGGAATTGTACTACAAATATCTGTCCTGTATGGCACATGCAACACTCATGAGCCTCTGACACCTGCTTGCTGATGGGACATTAATCACTAAAGATCCATAGTGATCTGTACAATAATACCACCGTAACTATGTAATCGGAATTTCGTTATGTAATCTTTCTCATTTACCGGTGCTAATGTGGTGACAGGTGCACACCCAGGCTGCCTGTCTGAAATCGCTATAATATTCGGAAATAACGCAATCCACATACGTGTGTAATGGTAGCGATTAACAGATAGTGATCGATCATCGATTCTTTCCACTTGATCGTTTCTTCTTTTTTTGTTTGGCTGATATCTGACATAAACAGGCAGCTACGTTCTTTTACGAACGCTGCAGGGTAGATGCACCAGTGAGCGGTCGGCTAATTATAATAATTGAATTTTTTTTTGCGACACTGCAACGAAATTTTGTGTGTTTTATTAATTAGAGATCGCAATTTTTGGTCGTCATTAACTTCGAGAGTATATACCGCGTAAAATTAACAATAAAAGTGAAGCAGCAGGCTCGCTGAACGATCGCTGAGGAGCGTGTAATCAGAAAACCGACAGAGCATTGTGCTTTCATTCACTAGTGCATCCAGCCTGACGCGAGTTATTACAGCGATGTGTAATCCATCGATTTGTACGTTTTTTTTTCGCGCAGGGAGGGTATCACGAGCCATATCACTTGAGCAGAAACGAACGGGTCTAATTGTCATGGACATTCATGAGATAACGAAGTTAGTGTTGGCTTGATACTAGATACGTTCGTTTTTTCGTGTGAATCCGTTGGATTATCTTGTCATAACGCGTACAAGTCGAATGCTTCACACTAATAATATTACAAGTAGCCGGTGCAAAGCAATGCTTCATTCATCGTCGGATCTCCCTGATTCGATCGAGTGTTCGCGCGATCAGTCTTCTTTCGCTCGTGAACGAAGAATTGAAATTCTAACGCATGAAACGATATTGGAAGAAATTTTTAACTTGATATCGATTTAACGGAATTATTATTTACCGGATTTATGCCATACGAGGCGCGCACGAGAAACGAAAGCGTTGCTTTTCACCACTAACTATATTTCTCTCAGCTGGCGAGCTACTAGATACTTAATGTTAACGTCGGTCAGTCATAATCAGATTACTAACAAACTGTTTTTCTTTTCTTTCTTGTTAACCCCGGTTGCCCGTGGCCTGTAGGCTTGGAGTGCTAACAATGGATATCCACTCGCCCCGTGCTAACACCTGGACTCTGGAACAGCATCCCGCGTTCGATCGGTTCACCAACCAGCCGACCACCTTCGCCGTCCGTCCGCGTCACCAGCCCCGTTCGTCAAGCTTATCCATCATCCTGTATCCTCTTAATGTTCGGAAACGTTAGTTTCTCCCACGCGTCTCGGCGATCGATGGAGTCGTCGTCGATTGGAATCCGAGCCACTTCGTGCCGTCGTAATCCGCCGATGGCACGAATATAATCGTCTCACTTCGCAAAACGGTAGCGTTGCGAGGTGCATTAGCATAATATATAGAGATTTGGGACTCTATATACATTTTATATATTATATATTTTTATGTATATAAATATATATTATATATCTTATATAGAATACCCGCACGCCTTTTGCGAAAAAAAAAAAAAAACGCAGGACTATATTCCGGACTTGTTTTGGACGCGAGTCAGGTATGCGCAATTTGAATTCAGTGCAACGTTAGCGGTAATAGCAGTAGTTTTTAGTATGAACATTAGTTTATCGGTTATTTTTACTCCCTCGTGGGGAGGGGAATTTTGTTGTAGCACGTGCGCGATGTATCTTCGAAGTATTTTATTTTCTCTCTCTTCTCGTGGCAGCGATGAAATGTTGTTCGCGTTTTTCCCAGTACTTACGATTACGCTGGCACCTCCCCGTCTCTGGAGGTGGCAGCGCAAGAATGTGACAACGTTAATATAACTTAAACGCAATGATATATTTACGCGCATTTTTAAGAGCTAATTGCTGAAGGAAGTGTCGCGCGAAAAAAAAGAAAACATACTGAGAATACATGCGAGAAGTTCTTCAAAGATCTCGTCGGAGAAAATCACAATTTGATGCCAATTTGTCTTCCTTTTTTTTTTCTCGTGCGACACATCTCTCACGTCGGAGAAATTATCGAAATTCTGTACAACTCTCTCGCATAAATGTGCCTTATGTAATGTATGTTAACGTAGTGCGGAGTGTAACCGCGTTACCGTTTTAGATAAAGCTTTGTTATCGATAGGCTACGTAGTAGCATTAGAACTGTGCAATCAAAATTTAACTTTCACGCGATATGTATATCCTTAGAAAGAGAAGGACAATGCCGGTTAGATCGCTCTCCTAATAGTCTTTCTCGTTAAGTTGCGAGTAGGACTGTTAGGAATCCGTAGCTAGAATCATGAATATCCCGAAGATAAGGCTTTAAAAGTATGTGTTGTATGCACGAAAGAACTACATGTATATATTGTTTCAGCTGAAAGTATTAAGAGAAGTGCTATTCGCAGAGAATATTCTAGTACGTCAATGCGCAATACATTGATGAGGAAAGAAAAGTGGCAGGTCATCTGAAATGTGTTGCCAAGATTTATTAAATAAATTGCACATTTTAACTTTGCGAAACCCTGGCGAAAATATGAATACTTTATAAAGTGTTGATGACAATTTTTTAAGAGTTTATACGCTTTCGAACTTTATAAGAATACTTACACAACACTAAAGTTTTAAACATTTTCAGAACGCTTATAAAATGACGTATATATTGTTTAATAAAAGTTTTGTGATGCTGAAGCAATGCTTTGCAAAGAACGCTTAATAAACGCTAATACATCTTTGTGCAGACAGTTTATTGTCAATTTTTGAAACTATTAGCAAACACTTTTCTCATACTCCATTTGTTGCAATGTTGCAATTTCTGCTTTTCAAACACTCTACATTGACCGTTTCTATTCTCAACAAACTCCTGCAAACACTTAAATTAACACTTAAAACGTCCAAAAAACATTTATGAAACTTCTTATTTTCGTCAGGGAAAACTTACAATTCAAACCGCAGGATTATCGGACAGATATGTATTTACATGAATATCGATAAAACGTTGATACAACCAAAATAAAAATAACAGAGATATTGTGAGATCTGTTGTTATGACTTTTTGCACCGCGGAATTATTTGCAAGATATCAATCATATACATGAATATAAATAAAAAAATGTATGTAATCTCTGTCTACATACAAGCAGAGTGTTTGCGTGAGAGAGTGACTTACTTAATATCGACTTTATTATTATATTAGAGAGTTGCACCACTTTTTAGGTCTGCCATATTGTACATGTAACGATTAAGAATGATATCACGTTGCACGCGTTATATAATTTCTGTATAGTCATTCATGTGTCAAATGTTATACTCGTTCTTTCGACAGATATTTTTGAATTTTTGTCCAAGGAGTCCCTCCTAGATGTATGTACCGATAGCTCGGTCCTTCATGTATATATAAGCGTTGAAAGATATACACGCACACGTTTAAGAGTGATCTGAAATCTACTTAAGTTCTCAACGTAAAAAAAAAAATAAATATATCCGATATATATTTTATTATTGTACGTAAATAATTGATTTAACGAAATATTTTGAATATCATTGTCCTCTATTAAGTGCGATTATAATATACAATTTTATGTATGCGCATTCGCGAGCGTGATTATACATACACAGAACAGATATGTATACACATAATGTATTATACATATGCACTGACTCAGTCGAACATCTGGACGGTATGAATAAATACCACTGTGATTTACTTCTGCGTCAAACGGCGATACATTATCTGTTATGATTTTGGAAGAAGAATCAATTTTAATATTTGTCCTATCAAAGGATAATATATAATTTTTATGTAATATTATTGCAGCTCACACACTGCTTTATCAATTATATAAGTTATATATTGTATAAATATCTGATCTTTATTGTTTTTTTTTTATAATTTTTCGAGATTATTATTATTATTATTATTATCATCGCAGAAGTAAACACAGGCGTGATTTGTTTACACCCTGTTATCGTATTTATAAATGTATTCATATAAGTTACATAAGAAATTATAATGTATGTGCAAGCAATCTTGTTAGATCTTACGGCATGCGAATTTACATTTATTATTCTATAGTTATATAGTTTTTTTGCCGAAATTTATTGTATATGATAATTTTTTAGTTTCATATTTTATTTTAATGTTGATATATGTGCAGGATACGTGGCAATATTAATGTGTAAGTGACAATGAAAAGCAATTCTGTTTTCTGAAATCTCGGAAAGATCTGATTACGAATCATAGTATACTGTACGCTACTTATGGAAGAAAATTCACAATTTACAATGAAAGTGCAAATAAAATAGTTTATACAAACATGTATAAATACTATGATGAACGGTAATAAAAATATTTTTTCAATACTCGACACTTCCTTGATGCTTGAAAGAAATAACAAGGTTTCTGTTTTATTGATATACATACGTGCATTATCAAAAAGTAAATGGACATTTCATAATCTCATACAGAACATATCGAAATATTTACATTAGCTTCATTTCTCTATTGAAAGAGATCCTTCTATGTACAAAAATATCACTTAACAACTCGATAAATTATTTTTTTGTTACAATTAGTACAAACAGTATGAAATAGAAAATTCTTTTACCATTTTATGACTTTGGTAATCGGTAGAAACTACCGGAGAGTAATAGTTGATGTTCCCTGACTTTTCTATCCAGAAACTGCCTCAATTCTGGTAAGCCGCATTCGACAGCACCTGGTCCTTGCGACGCAAACATTTTTAACATTTGATGAATCCTCTCTATTGGCAATGAATCTAGATTTGTCAACATTCCAACGATGTACGACCAGAACACTTGCAACTCCTCCTCTCTCTGATCGCTGGCTGAAGCCATTGCACTCTCAGTCTCCTCCTCCTCGACGATATCCGTCGACAAACGGTTTTTCGACGTACTTTCCTCTTGCAAAACGAACACATCGCTAGAAGTCTCCTTTAGAAGGCCTTGCGACACCCAAAATGCCATTTTGCGTCGAAGAACAGTCGCCGGTGCGTGCATTACTTCCGCCAGATCTTGCAAAGTCCACTCATCTGCAAAATAAACTTGACTTAAGAGCAACCGTTTCACCATATATTTGTGTTCGGTTCAACAAATAATCAACGTGTTCTTACTTTTATCCTGAAAGTGCAAGATAATCGTTGCGTGCACCGGTGTGACGTTTATATCTAGCTTTCTGTCCTTCAATTCGATTTCCAGGCTCACGTTTCCTAAGTGAGGCTTCCAGCAGACCGTCCTGTTTCCCTTCAAGGCCTCAAACGCCTTTACATATTTATTCAGTTGATTCTGCACGATGCTTGGCAGTTTCAATTTCCAGTCTTCCTTGAACGGCGGCCAGAATTGCGCCGATAGTATCAGTGCGGAGGTAGGAAAGAGTTCCCTCTGCAAATTGTAACTGGTATCGGAGTGAATGTTACCATCTATCCTTTTCGAATCATAAACATCCTTCAACATAACTTCGCAGTAATGTAATTGATTCTCCCCAAATCGCCTCTTCAACAACTCTAAGTGACGTATTTCGCGTTCAGTATGATAGTTGAGTTGAGAGAGCAGTCTATCCGCCAGTAATGTACGATACTCGTTGACGAATAAATCCTGGCTGCCGTAAACGTTCACCAACGTAGAGATGATATCGGACACTTTACGCTGTGTCGATTTAGCTGGAAAGATAAATTTTTATTGAGAAAAAAAGTTCATTACATCTTATTTCGATGAGCATATAGTAAAACTACTTTTTTGTGATTCAATTTTAACTCAAATCTTAAAAAATTTGGAGGAATATATATTTTAAATCTAATCTCTCAGAAATATATATAAGATACAGTGATAAATGCAATTTAAAGTAGCGTGAATTTTTCCGCCAAAGCCAATTATATAAGGAAATTTCGCAGTTTACCGGGATCAGCATCGACTGGATCCGGCATCCATTTTTCCCAATCTTCAGTCTCATCGTCCGCCGAACCATCATCCAGCTGCAAGCATTCGCCTTTCACCAATTCGTCGGCTAACTCACTGGGTGAATCATCAAGCAAACTATTAACAACCGAACGTACGGTGTCTTCTCTGCTCCTCAAGTAGCACCTAAAAAATAAATTGGACTTGATAAATAACTGAATTCCTTAGCATTTTAAATTAGCATATTAAATTCACGTTACAAGTTGCAACTTTGATGTGACAAACCAAGGGATCTCACTTGATAGGTTCTGTTACGGCTTCTAGAAGAACCCCGGTTGGATCGAGATGCTTAAGCGCTTTGATCGCAGCAATATAAGCGGTCACTATATCTGGAGTGTTCACACCAGCATGTAAGAGCCGTGTTTTGATCGCTTCCTGTAGATTATTAACCAGAACCATCCGTTTATCGGTTCTTTCTAAACAAATTCGGAGATCATCCACCGCAGGCTGCGACTCGGGATATTCTAGAAAAAAATGTAGCACATAATTGCAATAAATAACTCTTTATAAATATATAAATTAAATGTACCTATTATTATGTTAAAGAGATGATCAATTCTTATGTTAGTGTACGTTTCATACAAAAAATGAGATAGTTTCTGTTTGAACTTGTTTATGGCGTTATGAACATTATCGCTAAGTGCTACCGTTTTCGAGAAACCACCAGAGTAAACTCTTATCAACCAATTCATGACGACAGTCTCAAGCCACTAAAAGATAAAATGTAATAATATACCATTATTGTACAATTATATAATATTATATAACAAGAGAAAACTAACATACATTTTCTAACAAGATTAATTGCGACACATCGAACGTCTTATCACATGTTTGAATTACATGATTCTTGATACGAATATGAATTAGTGATGTGAGTACATTTCCCACAAGCCTCTCCAATAACTCCAACTCGATTAATTTTCTGTTTGTTTCGTGAAACATATAAACTATCATCTGGCATCGGCAATTCTCCATTTCCTGGCCACATCCTGTACACTGGATCTCGCTGATTGATATATCTACTTTAAAAAATATATATTTCTATCAAATATATTTCTCACATTTCTCAAGCAAATCATAGATATAACACAAATAATAAAGACAAATACTTGTGTAATTTACCTTGTGACGTGTTATCCGAATTGCAAAATACATTAAATGCAATTTTATAAAAGTGTTCTACGATACATTCATGATACAGAGGTAATTGGCTCAATAATGTTGCTCTTACGATAAGCTTGAATTGTGCCTCTATATCTATATTGTTCTCGACACTTGGTGTTTCACCTTTATTCTGTCTTAAAAATTCTAGCTTTTTTAGAATTGGCAGAAACTCTGTCAGACTGGTGTACAGACCATCAACAGCAGATTTGAACAATTCAAAACCCTGTTGGCTATCTTTCGTATACTCAAACTTCTTCCAGAATGTTGGTGCCACATGACAACGGATATATTGTTCTATGTTATGAATCACAATCTCTATAATATATTCCGTTGTCTTGACAAATTGTATGATCTCCACTAAATTCGCAAATTCCTCTTCTGTGCACACCTCTTGAACCTAAAAAAGACAAGCATCTCTTAGAGTAGGAATTAAAAAACGGATTCAGTCATGTGTCTCTATAAAGACTCATGTCATACATAATGTATTTGTAAGTTATTGCAATCTTTTTAATTTAAAAAAATAATACATAATTTAAAAAATACGCCAAGTATTAGTTTGCACTTTAAACAAAGCTAAACTTTTTAATAATAAAATATCCAAATTGTCCGAAATAATTGTCATCTCAAATCTAAGAGATATAAAACATAAAATTTTGATTATTTGAATAATTAAACACTATTGTTAAGGGCGGGTTCACTTGACGGAAAAGCGGAAAGCGAAAGAGCAGTAGCCAATCAAAACTCGCGTTGGTAGTCGACTTTCTGTTAGTTTTGTACTACTTTACTACCAGCGCGAATTTTGGTAGATGTGAATTCGCCCTAACAATAGTGTTTAATTATTCAGATAATCAAAATTTTATGTCTAAAGAGAGACAATTTAACATAAAAACAAAAACCCATGAATTTGTAGAATTATGAAAAGAGAATTGATTGCAAAATATAATTTATCAACTTTTATTAAAATTATATTAAATTTTTGTAAATCTATTAGTTAAATATTTAAAAATTCGGATCTCTTATTTGCAATCCTGACATGAACACCGTACTTATATTGAGGTTATAATTTCATATAGTAATGTTAACGTTGACATCGTAAAAGATTTCATTGTCGAAAAAGCAAATTTGTGATTTCAATGTATAACATACGTTGCACATACCTTTCCTTTAATTATTGGAAATACACGTTCTAACTGCTCAAAGAAATCATTTGGCTTCTCTTCCACCTTCGCCATGTTTTTACCAACATGTCAACATGTGAGATGTGAGCAATCAGCAACGTTACCTTTAGATTAGGTTATATCGTAACCGAGTTTAGGTTATGGTTTACGATTGAAGACAGGAAAACAAAGGTATAGTAAATTTTTGGACCTCTTACATATTGGAATAACTTCGATCAAACTCGATTAACTTGTCAAATAATTTCATTAATGTGGATAAAATTATAAATTCTTTTCGTTGTATGTGACACTGAAAAATTAAATCCAAAGCATGCTTTAATACAACCCGGAGTTTTACTAGAAGCAACTTTGCAAGTTATGTTAATTGCAAATTAAGTTAATCAAAGTCAATCGACGTCGCCATCAGACAGATACAAATATTGAAAGTACATGTCTTTATTTTCAGAATTGCAGTGTAAGCATGAGTAGATTTTTATTTAAGTACAGGAATGTGATTCTGGGTGTAACTGCTACTGCAGCTGGATATTATGCAGTCCTTATGCCACACACTGTTTTGTTGGAAAAGTATAAATACATGATGACCATATACCGGTGAGTAATGCAATTTAAGATTTGCATTCTTTAACTTTTATTCCAAACCTGAGACTTAATATCTTTTTTTTCTGTAAACATATAGTATGGAAAAAGAGGTGCCATTAAGCTCTGAAATCCAGCAGATAATCCAGAAGGTAATGAACGATTTAAAGCTGTCCGACGACATTAGGGATTCTATAAAGCCCTTTAGCACGCTTGGTTTTGATTTGTTTCACGCCGGTACTCTCAGTACCAAGTACGGTGCGATATTGGGGATTCCCCTTAATTTCACCAATACTAGAGATCAACTTCATCAGTATCTGCAAATCAAGGAGGAGCCGATAGAGTGGACGCGGCAGGACGCAAAAGCTTTTCTAAAAGCAATAATATTTTCCGAGGATGCACAAAAATTCGCGATAGCACGCGAAATCCTGGGAATCCAGGGAGAGGAGCCACGCTTTAATTCACTCATACTGGCTCTAACTGTAGGAACCTTGTGGACACTTTATAACATTATATCATACAGATTTAGACTACGCGAAGGCAATGCGATAGCACGACGTACGTTTTACGTGACTTTCACTTTATTTGGTACACTATTTTGGTTTGGTGTAAAGGACTACCGAAGTTACCAGCTCGACAAAAAGAACGATGAAGCCTTGTGCCGTTTAGGAAACGAATATATCAAGGGGGGACAGGAATTTTATGAAAAAACATTAATCAGAAATAGAGCATTGAGGACTCTCCTTGGAACAGAAGGAAAAAAAATATATACCATTCATGGAAATGAAGAGAATTTTTTGAGACTGAAGCATATGCCAATTTCCTATAGGAAGGATTTTTTCGATTCGCATCTACGAAACTTGGAAGGTATGAAATAAATTGATTTCTTTATACCTACCTATAATTTTAAACATCTTTTTTTACTTTGATCATCCAAAATCCTTGAATGATTAAAATTCTAATGATATCTGGTATCTTATATAGTTTCGAAATATATCTTTTTATTTTTTCGTAATTAACTGTATGGTAACTGTTTCATACGCGCGCAAAAAACACAATGAAGTACTTAGTGCGATTGGAAATTTAATGTATAAACAAAATTAATGTAAATATATTTATAACGTTATCAGTGATTGTTGATAAAATACGATATTCGTAATAAACTATTTAAAAACAGTATTTATATTGGAGTATATATTATTAATTTCAATATATATATATATGCACATTAGTCCTTAGACTGCCTATTGTGCTTACGAGACATTGCCATTCCTTTAACGTAAAAAGCATTCGTCATAGATGGGTACATATTTCTAATGCATGTTTCAGTATATGATTATCTTTTACACGACAAAAGTCGCAGGTAAGAGGATACACTTTATACATGATCTATATTTCTATATTATATAAGCCTTATCACATATGATAACATTTTGTTAAATTAATATTTATAAAAATCTGCAAATATTACATATTGTAGCTAATTTGTACAAATTCTTATTTCCTTCTTTTATATATATGTACATATACATATATAAAAGTGAAGGTAAAGCTCTTGCACGAGCGGCCTATAGAAACATATGATACTCGGGCAGAGAAACGCGTCAATTGCCTACAGAATTCTTCTATACAGAAAAATTATACATCTCGGACTACGAGAGACCAAGTGAGCCAAACTGAAAAGAGATTCGTAACGTGATTATAAGTTGTATAAACTATGCGCTACAATAGAGGGATCAATTTGTGCTGCCACTTACCAGAGTTAGCTTATCCTCCTCCTTCTTAAGTATCTTCGTGGTTTGTTCTTGGTCAAACTTGACGACGGCGGCGATTACTCTGGCAAGCACCATCGTCTCCCTTCCCATCATGTATTCGAACAGAATGTTTCTAAGGTATTCAATTTCCGTCGAATCTTCCAATGTGTCGTGTCGCAAGCTGACCAGTTTCCTGAGTTCCGCGAGTTCTCGCCTCTGTGACGTCAGGGTCTGTTGCAAGGTGTGAATCGAGCCGGTGCTCGTTTGTACCGCGGCCATCGCCACGCGAGAAGTGCTTTCCAATTCCTGTATGAAATTTCACTTTACTCTCAATTTTCTCATTAAACATCTGTTCTATGTAAAAGAAGCATGTATATAAAAAAGCGTAGTGACTGTAGACATTAAATAAAAAGAAATAAAGCTTTACCTCGGAAGCTGCATCAGTTTGTGCATCAGGCTGAAAATAATGCGAAATACGTGAACGCAAATTAAAAAATTAAATATAAAAAAATAAAACATGCATAAATAACTAATCATACATTTAAAAATTTACATTTAAATAAATGAATGTGAACTATACATTTAGCGTTAAATTAAATTATACTTTCAAATATATTATGCAAAATTACCTTTCTTTCGTTCTGCCATTCTTTTGTTAATTCATTCAATTCCTCCTCATGTTTAACTTGCAGATTATCGATTTTTTGATGCACTATAGCCTTCCACTTTTTCTCTAATTCTTTTATTTCATCAGTATGTTCCTTCTTAATCTGCGCGATAGTTTCTACCAAGCGATCAATGTCCTTTCCCTTCTCTATTACCACATCTTTTTTTTCTAAAACAAGGCTCTCGAGTTGTTCAGATTTCTCTGTCAGTTCTGATTGACAATCTTTCAATTGTTCCTTGTATTGCTGTACAAGATTCGACTCGAAGTTGTGTTGGCGATCTACATAAAGATTAAATACCGGTTATACATTGGAATGTTTCTCAAAAATTTTTTGTTTCATTAGATAAAAATACATATATATAAATATAATTTTTTAAAATAAAATAGCATCTTACCGAAACGTTTTTCCAACGCGGCTTGAAGTTCTTCTTCTTTGTCGTGCAACTGAGCTTGAAACTCTTTCACCAGCTGCTTCAGCCTCATTCCTTGTTCCTCTTCGTTGGTCTTCAACTGTTCCCTTAATTGATTGCTTTGCAACCTTAATTCGTTATTTGCAAGTTGCATCTGCGTCTCTTTCGCTTGGAATGTAATCAATGCTTCATCGAGTTGGGCCTCTAATCTCTTATTCTCCTCGCGCAACTTGTTACTGATGAGCTGGCCCTTCGCGTCTTTGTCCTTACGGGCAGTTTCTAATTCTTTCCGTAACACATCGTTCGTCTGACTGAGAGAATTAATTTCCGACTGCAAACTAGTGATCTTTTCTTCCGATAACGCGAGCGAATTTCTCAGCGTGTCCGTACCCTTCCTCCTTTCGTCGATTTCGAGCGAAAACCGTTTTAAATTCCCAATCTCTTGTGACATATTGGATATTTTATCTTCCAATAATTTTATCTCTGCGTCTTTCGCTGTTAATAAATCTTTCAAGGCGCCTACCTCTGGCGACGAATTCTTCGCGGATTGCAAAGCTTCAATCTCCAACTGCAGTCTATTATTTTCCATACGTAAGGCCTCTAAACTAGATACCTTGGACTGTAAATTATTTACATGACTTTGCAACTGCGTGCTATTAGATTTTACACTTTCTAGCTCGGTAATTCTGTTCTTTAGAGTCTTTTGTTCGGCAATCAATACTTTGTTCTTCGAACGTATTGTCTCTGCGTCCGAATTCTTTTGAGTTAAACGACTAAGTTCTGATTTCAGCTTTTCATTATTTTCTTCCACATCTTTAATTCTTTTAACTTCATCCCTTAACGTTCTTAATTCTGTGCAAAGTCGCTCGTTCTCTTCTTTCACGACGTTACCGTTTGTCATGGCTGTACCTAACTCGGAAATTTTATCCTTCAACTCGGCATCCCTCTCGTCAAGTTTCCCTTTGATCTCCTGCGATTTCTTCTCGCTCATTATTAATCTCTCATTTAATGAATTCAGTTCCACATCTTTACGTTCTAACTGCGCGCTAACGTTACTTAATTCGTTGCTTAAACGTTCTGCCTCCTCGCTTTGACTATTGAGCTGAGATTTATACGATTCTACGTAATTCTTTACTGTTCTGCGCAATTCTTCAATCTCCTTCTCATACTCTGCGATTTTCTGCTTCAAAGCCTCGTCGTTTTCGCAAAGCTTCTGATTACGACTCAAGAGATCGTTTTGCTGGTCTTTTAAATCTTTGTTCTCCAGGGTGATCGCCATAAGTTGAGAATTTTCTAATTTCAGCGACTCTATTTGTTTCTCGAAAATCTCCAACAAGTTGGACAATTCTGCCTGCCGAGTCTTTGATTGGTCAAGCTCGGCTTTTACCTCCTCGATCGTTTTACTTTGTCGCTCTTTGATAGTTTTTATCTTCTTTATTTGTACGAGTTTCACGTTAACCGTTTCTTGCAATGCCTTGTTATTTTCCATTAATTCTGTAGTTTCTTTTGCGTGATTTTCCCTCGTCGCTTGGTACTCCGCCTCCAAGTTTAGGTACTTCCTTACATGTTCCTCGATTGTCTGTATATGACTGTCGCATGTGGATTTTAAATGGGCGACATGCTCCTCTTCACTTACTAGTTTCTCATCGCGAGTCTTTATCTCACCCTCCTTTTCAGCTAGATCATCCTTCAAGCGAGCGATTTCTAATTTCGAGGCGTACAGCTCTTTTCGCAACGTATCGTGATTGCTGTTTTCCGATTTGAACGAATTAATGATTTCGGTCGCTTCACGTAACTTTGCATTCAATTCATTTACTTCTTTAAAGGCATGACTGGCCTGCGCATGTTTTTCCCTTAAATCATCAATCTCGACAGACAACGCGTGATTTACAGATTCGAGATTCTCTAATATCTTCAACCGTTCTCGTAGAGAATTAACTTCCTGTTGTGACTGCGTTAATTTGTTCGATGCCGCTTCTAAATCGTGAATTTTAAAATTGAGATTATCAATTTCGGCTATTAATTTGTTATTCGTCGTATTGAGTTCATCGTATTGATTATTTTTCAGCGTCATCTCTTCTAGTCGTTCGTTACTTTTCCTCAATTCCGCTTCTAGTGCGGACTTGTGATTCGTAACTTGCGCAAATTCTGATTGCAAGTCTGCTTCTTTGAGTGTAAGCTGTTCTTGATCCTTTATCTTCGAACGCAATTCATTCATTTCAGATCTCATTGTTACATTCTCCTCTTCGAGCTTTGCAAAAGATGCGACAAGAGTCTCACTCATGTCCAATATTTTAGTCTTTTGATTTAAGAACTCTTCCTCAACTATATTTTTTACATCCATGTAGTCCTGCTTTAAACGATGCGTACAATCATTATAATAAATAAGACGATTTATCAAATCGCTTCTCTCTTTTTTCAGTAAATTTATAACCGAACTGTTTGCCTGGACCTTGTTTTTAAAGTCATCGATCGTAGATTTGCAAAGCTCGAATTCATTTTGTAATGCGCTTAATTCGATTTTTTTATTCTCCAATTCTTCTTGCAGCCCTGACAGCTCTTCCAATTTATCATTCAGAGATTTGATTTCTGCTTTCTGTTCGGTCAATTTTTTCTTTGCTTCTTCGGCCATGTCTGTGTATTGTTGCACCTTTTTATTATAATTTTCGCACACCTGATCCCTATCGATCAGTGCGTTTCTCATGTTCTCCAATTCTTTGTCAACGCTTTGTACTGTCGCTTGAAGTTTCTCAATCGTCGAGTCAGCGTCTTTCTGTTTTTCTTCCGTGACAATCCTATGTGCTTGATATTCCTCCCTCAAGTCCGAATATGTGGTCTTCCAAGCAACCAGTTCGCTATGTATAGATTCCCTAATGCATTTGTATTCTATATTTTGTTTTTCCATTTCGTCCAATTTATCCTGCAGTTCCTGTAACTCGACTTCTTTTTCCTTCAAACGTACCGTTACTTCGTCCAGTTTATTCTCGTCTTCTGTTTTAATCTTTTCACTGTGATCAACTTCCTCACGATGTTTTATTCCCACTTGTTGCATAGGTGCATTTATTGCTTCGATTTTCTCTTTCGAAGCTATGGTATTTTTATCCGCTATATTCGAATCGGTATGCAGGGATTTAAGTTCATTCAATTCGGCCTTATATCTCGCTGCTGCTTCGTTTAAACTCTCTTTATCTTCCGTTACATGTTTCAGGTCGATTCGCAATTGCTTGATTTGTTCCTCTTTCTCCTCGAGTTCTCTGTGCACGGAAAGTTTATTCTCAGCTAATGAAATCGCCGATTCCTCCTCGCGTTTGTGCAAAGTATCTATTTCCTCAGTCAGTTTTTCAATCTCGATACGCGCCGCACTCAGTTCATCCTCCGTCACACTGATTCTCTCGGCAGTGGAATTCTTTAGTGCCTCATGATCGTTCTCCAAAGTGTTCTTCTCCTTCATCACTTCCAAAAATTTCTCCTTATTACGCTTTAATGATTCCTTGTATTTTAAAACGAGGCTTTCCAGCTTTTTTAATTTATCTTTTAACTGAGTATTTTCTACCGACAGTGCATTATTCTCGTCGTTAGACGATTCATTCGCCAAATCGATTAGGTTTACTTTAGAACTCTCCTTTGGTTGAACCTCTTCCAACACTGAATTGTCTAAAATTGGTCCAGTTGCTTGCAACAATTTTATCTTTGTATTTAATGTATTTATGATGTGATCTTTCTCTTCTATATCATTCCTCAGTACGTCCTCTAAGTGTGCTTTAGCTTGTTGCTCTAATTGACATTGCTCCTTTAGGTTAGTTATTCTTCTTAGAACCTTGTCTTGTGTTTCAACCAATACAGACTCCAACTTGGATTTCACTCTGTCTAATTCACGATAGTGTGTAGCCAGATCCGTATATCTACCGCGATACTTATGATATTTGGTTTGCATCTTTCTATAAGCAGAATACAACTGATCCTTCGTAACTCTATCAAGATTAGGACTGATATTATCGTCCACTTCGCTAGCTGACTGATCCATGTCCGACTGCAAAAGTAAAACTGTCAGAATTGTTAGAAAGTTAGGAAGCTATCTGTTGATAGGCATTTATAAGACAAACCTGTAAATGATAAAGATTTGGAGGACTTTCATACATTGGAAATAACGAGGATGCATCACTGGTGATACTACTCACTGAAGATCTTCTCGAAATCTCCATGCGATTCGGAGATGGCGACATCAGGTCAACATTTTGGAAACTGTGTTTCACTGGAGTATTCTTTGGTGTTTCTGCAAAATAAAATATTTAATATCATCAAACTATTTTGTACAAAAAATATATATACAGAGTAATAATACTACATGGTATTATAAAAAAAAAGCCTATTTTCTTTAGCTAAACTTCTTGCATGATTCATCTTTTCTCTCTTTTTCTCCAATGTAAAAAGAAAAGGAAGATGTACTATCCAAGTTCAGTCTGTATAAAAAGAATAGACCTAAAGTATTATATCATACAGTGTATCAATCATATAACTTTTTCTAGAAAATATGTATACATACAAAAAATTTATTCCTTGAGGAAAAAGTTATATGATTGACTTCTAAACAGTACAATCTCTTCAAGATCCTTCATGTCTCCAGAGTTAAAGTATCATTAGCATTTCATTCTGGTGACTTATCCCATATGTTAAGAATCTTCAAATTTTGTACATCCAATAGTGAAACTCGCCAAGGCGATTAAGGTATACTTACCGTCTCCATCCTCTGTCAGACTGAAATTGTCATTCGATGCTGACACTTCCTGAATAGAGCTGTTGGACAAGGCTGGTGATACCACTGCCTGCAAGAAACAACAACAAAAGAAAAAGCCAATTGCAGATTGTCATTTTCATAGAATTGCATTCGAACGAGAAGAGAGAAACCTGTGCCAGTTGTTGCACACTCGCCTGCAGCCTCGCGGGCGACTGTTTCATCTCCTCTGCGAGCTTGTCCTTGAATTTCTTGAACATCCTGGCGTGTGGCTGTCGGAAGCGGTGGTCGGTGACGATAAACGAGTGCGATAAGCCCCGTGAAAAGTCAGAGTCCTTCCGTCGGTCACGCGTGGAATACAACGGCGGGCTGTTTACGTGGATTCAGTCCGTCAGGAACGGTGACGCGAACACGGGGAATCCAGATTACGGCAGGACTGTACGGCGCTGGGGACATGGTACCAGAAACACGCCTCTCCTCTTTCCGCCGTTCGGATCTTCGTGAGCGAGAACCTCCGATAAGGACACCGCGGAGAAATCGCACAAACGTCGAGCTACATTATTTGATTATCCCACACAAACATGTCCATATGCATTACACATGAGTGTGTGTCGACCGCCATTACTGTGTGGGCGCTTGATGACGTCATCGGGCATTCAGGCACAGTTTTCAACTGAGGAACCTTTTTCTATCGCTTTAAAATTGTGACAATAATAAAGTGACAAACTTTAAGAATTGTGATTTATATATATAATTATACATAATCATTATTATATAACTGAAAAAATTAAAATGTAATTTAGGTTACGTTTAAGCAGTCGAGTTTTCATAAGTTAGACTATAAAAAATATTTTATTTTTTTTATTGTTACGAAAAAGCTTAATTACTCAATGCTTTACTCAATTTGTTTCTTCCTTTTAAGTAATAGTTCTCTTTAACAATAAATATCTTCTTGATAATAATCTTAAAATATACTTATTATAAATTTAAAAAATACTCATTATATACTCGAAATAAAATATAAGAATTTTCTTTTGAAGAATATTATCAGAGAGAAACCTGAGAGCGGCCCTTTTTTCCTGTAATACTTCTAACTCCCCGTACACTAGCGGCACCAACGTCCATTTTCGAACTACGTACCAAGTCTACTCTCATGACCCGCCGTCTCGCCGATAAAATCGTATCGTCGAAAGTAGTGGTTCGGGTCCGTGTTAAATCGGATAAATAAGATCTACTGGAAAAAGATATTAAAAATGTAAAAAAAAAGTGTCAAGTATATTAATGCCATAAAAAAGAAGTGAAATCAAAATAATATATTTTGCAGAAAACTAAATTTAATGTCATAAAAAAGAAGTGAAATCAAAATAATATTTCAATCTTTATTAAAATGCTCCTACAGAACACGTATCTGCATCTTGAAAGCGTCCGTTTTACGACCTTTGGGTATCCAACCTTTAGAACTGTGCTGTATTGGATAATTATAATAAACTTTATAAAAAATGCATTTTATTTAATGTGCATAAAGTATAACAACACATTAAAATGAGAAAACGAAATGTAATAGATAGCCTAATAAGAGGCGCAGAACTTTTTCTTCAAATGTTTACCATTTCATCAGAAATCAATATTTTTGAAATCTACTACGTAATTCTTTAGTTTTTAGTATGTACATAGATGATAAAAATTTTTGGTATTTTGTTCTACGACAAACCGTTTAAAAATTGTAGATACCACCGCGGACAGGTCCGACTAATAAAGATGTTTAACGATACGGCTATAGTGTCGCCATTTTATAAATTAGAAATATAAAAAAAATTTTGTTATACACTTAAAGATACATATTTATAATAAAGCTCCAATAAACAATTTTTGATTTACTGCTTTATTCTCCAAAAAAATTTCCAAATATACACATCATTTTTAAGGTGCGAAGGTGATATAACCGATAAAACCCTTTAACCTATTGCAATAATTTATTGCGGATAAATTACATTGACGGATAAGAAAAGACGTTTTCTCGTAACTCATGACATCACTTATATCACCTAAATAAAGACTACAAAACGCACAATATAAAACAAAATAGCATATTATATAGAGGGATATCAGCGCATCCTTCACCCTGATGAAGTGAACGGTATGGTTCACGAAACGTTGGCATTAATAATGAAGAAAGACACGGCGATAACTCGCAAACCTTCTGGTATAAAATTATTCGCACGATATGCGTCGACTGGCGCAATTATCGAATTGCTAGAGAGCGTTGAGATTAACGTCAAACAAAATTCAAATGTTATAGTTCTCCTGAATATAACCTATTAAATTGAACTAAAAAGGATTATACAAATTTTTATAAATAATATAATATAATCCTTATAATACAGTATATTCTATAATCAAATGTTTGAATTGTAAAATTTTGAAATTGTTATATATATAACAATTAGAAATTTTATATATAGTTTAACCCCTTATACTCATTACGGATCAAAATAAACCCAGCATAACGTAAATCTCAAAAGTATTTTAGGGTAAGTCAAAAATAAAAAAATTTAAATATATCTAAATTATTCACTAGCTACTATGCCATTATTCCATTTCCTTGATAAAGAAAATTAGGAATAAACTGTAATTTTTTGAAGTGTGAGCATGAAGGGTTAACCAAAACGCATTTAACTATATACATATTGATATTAAACCATAACAAAAAGTCAAAACATTTATGTCATGCATTAGAGACAAAAGAAGGTCCGGATCACGTACCTGTAATAAAATTATCAGGAAGTCCAAAACTGCAATGTGTATCTGAAACAAGTATGCTTTCATTATACTCGATGAAAATGTTTGTGTTTAATCGAAAACAATTCACGTAAAAGAACGATCCTGACAGCACAGAATATTTATAATTAGTATTCATAACTAGAGCCCGGATTGAAATTCTAAGATCGTGTTGATCGTAGGCTAGTTCTCTCCACTTTTAATTTGTCCAAGGCTGTGACGCGCGGTGTAATATCGATTACCTTTTTTAAAAAAAGGTAAAAGAGTGCGTGTATCTGTTAAAAAACTATTTGGGCCAGTTAAATTCTATCTGTAAAGATCTAAGAGGTACCATCCTTACACTTATTTAATTCTAATGACTTGTATCATTTGTATAAAAGATTTGATATCAACAGTCGGTGCCAAGTTAAATTCTATTTGTATAAAAGATCTGATATCTATAGTCGGCGCCAAGTTAAATTCTTTAAAAACCTAAGAGATGCTATTCTTATTACTTACTTAATTCTAATAACATGTTTGATTTGTATAAAAGATTTGATATTAATAGTCGGCGCCAAGTTAAATTCTACCTTATTACTTACTTATTTTTAATGACATTTATCATTTGTAAAAATATTTAGTATAAACAGTCTGCGCCAAGTTAAATTCTATACATACATCTTCCAAATTAAAAAGTAAAACACAAGTGGTACCTTTAATCTTTAAAAACCCATGTAGTACTATTATTTAAATTCTACTAAATTAAAAAGTAAAACCCATGTGGTACTATCTTCATCTTCATACACAATAAAACCTAGTATATTTCATTGTATTCGTATTGAAAGATCTTGCTATTCCAATCCAAATGGTTTAATTTTTCTTTAAAAGAATTATATCACATTTAATTTAAAGACAATTAATTCAAACACATTTATTCCTCCAACCAAAGTAGTATAGTAATTAGTTATTTAATTTTCCTTGAAAACGTTATTATATCAAAATTGCATTACTTTATTCATCTCAAGTGTCACCACAAAAAATTAAAGAAATAACAGTACAAAATTTAAAAAATTAATATAAATATGTAGAAAAATTTTTTATGTAAAAACACTTGGCGCTGCTAGTACTCAATCTCGACGAAATAACGTCATAGTACAAATGTCACATTTAGAATAAAATCACATGAAACATTCACATGAGGGTGAAGTGCCAGTGTGTGTATATTCGCGTATAATATACAGAGTGTTTCTTTTTAATCTAGCCAGGCGAATATTTCAAATGCTGTTGAGTTTATAGAAAAAATTTCCACAATATAGAATGGATTTTCATGAAAAACGTGTCAGACAACTTTAACGCAGAATTTGTGCTCTTTCAGAACATGCAATAAAAAATTCTACATTCCATAAAAACCTTGAAATGACCTTCAGTTTCACTTTCATCAAAAACTCAAGACCATCATATTGCGTCTCCATCCGCGCTCTACAACTTTTGTCTGACACATTTTTCTATAAACTCAACAACATTTGAAATATTAGCCTGGATAGACTAAAAAGACCCTGTATATACGAATGAATTACATAAAAAAGAAATAATCAGAAAATTATACCTCGTAAATGGTTTTATATCTAAAGTAAAAGTGTCCAAAGCCAAATTTAACCTCCCTTTGTTTTATTTGCAATATAAATTGTAAAATCTAATAGAAATAAATGATTTATAAATGTAAAATAAACACTAACAATAACGAAATTTTGGACACTTGTATAAATTCTATGAAACAGTTTTTTATAAATAATTTTTATAAATAAAACGCGCGCGCACACACAAACACACACACACACAAGAGGTGTAAATCCGACCGTGCAACCTCTAGTGCAAAGTGGTGCACTTTGGGTAATGCTAATGTCGGCGGTACTGTAACTTTCGAGCCTTAAACTCGAAAAATATTTAATGGAAAAATATTTTATTAGTGTTTTGAAAAGCTCTCGAGATAAGCTACAAGAAAATGTAATAAAATATAGGGGGTTTCATTAAAAAAATTCTACGTGGCCTTGATCTGACCTTGGCGACGACACCCAAGGTCAAATTGATTAGATCAGTAAATACATCATATTAAACCCTACAATTCTTGTCTGAAATATTTTTCTCAAAAATGCTTCATTTTCAAGATATTCAACCGTTTCCGAACTTTTTCGAGACCCTGTATATGATACAATCAATTTTACAGGTGCAATTAAATAACATTTTGACTTGAATTTTACGCATATATAACAATTTTTCACTCCAATATGTTTAAAATTCAAGTCACTTTTTAGATTCAAAATAAACTGAATTCATATTTTATTTTGTATGTCATCCTTAACAAATAATCTTTTGAGTTAAAATTAATCTGCCTTGAGATAAATCTCGTTTTAAGGGAAAAACGCCGTAATCTGACCTCGCTTATCAACTGATCGTTCGTCACTGTTCACGCCTACCGCCTCTTTCCAAGCCCGTCGATTCAAACTCACACGCATGCGCAATCACGCGCCGCACGCGCCTCTCCGTTTCCGCGCTCCACGCGCCGCGATAATCAACAGACTCGAGGCTGGGAACGATCCGAACAGGTTTAAAGATAAATTTTCATGTATTTCATTGAGCAATTTTAAAATTTTTTATCGTTTTCAGCATAGATTCTACCTCACAGATACATATTAATGCGTATACTTTAATTCTGTAAAAGGATTTTCGAATCTGTGAATGACAAAAAAAGTATTTACGATACAAAAATTATATGATTTTGTCGGTAATATAGAGGCCTGTAG